AGGGGTTAAATGTCGGTTTTAACCAAGTTGCCTAGCTACGAGGGATTCTCAAGATTTCAATGACCAGGCTAGTGGTGGTAGGACCAAGATTTCTAGGAAACCACATATCCAGTTGTTACCATGATTATCTCTGCTAAGCCCTCCAACCGAGGCATTCTCAGGGTTAGGTGTAGCTGACCTGTCAGTGTCAAGCTTAAAGGACCCCGTGGGAGTGGGAGATTTGTCCCACTTAAACCATACGCATCTAACAATAATATCTTTTTTATTTTAAAATAATTATTATTTTTTAAGTTTAAGTTTTTTAAATTAATTATTATTATTATTTTTTAAATAAACAAACATAAATATTTTTTTACTTTAATTTTAATATTTTTTTATTTATTTTAATTAGTTTTCCTATTAAAAAAATCACTTCATTTTTAGTCTTTTTTAAAGATAATATAAATGAATACAAAAATTATTTTTAAAATTTTAATTAAAAATTTTTAAAATAATAATTATTTGAAAATAAAAAAATAATTTTAGTTTACACTTTTTTAGAGGAATGCACCATCTATTAATAATTTAAGTTGTTAAGAGTTTTAAATTTAAATATTAAGATAAACAAGAAATAATTTAAAAAGTAAAAAATTACTTTTTGTTGTGTAATTTATTATTTAGGTTTTATTTTATTATATTTTTTGATTTTTGATTTTTGATTTTTATTTTTAAAAATATATATAAAATATTAATTAAAGTAAATATTAAATATATTAAATATATTTTATATATTTTGGCATGCTTAATGAAAAAAAAACTTACAATTATAATTATAGATTAATATTATCAAATTAAATCTTTAGTATTAAAAAATAATTTTAATTTCACTTTTTAATTTTTAAGAAAATATTTTTGGTGAAAATTTACCAATATTGTAATATACAGTTATACACTAGTCTCTTTATACTTTCAGTTGCTTCGGTTAGCGGTACAATATACTCCCACTCGAATTGGATTTGTTGATGCAAATCCCAAGAGAGAAAATGTTGAAGGTCAACTTTGGGATCCATCTTTGGAAATAGTTCCCACTCTTAGGCTTGGATTCTGGGTCATATCCTATTCTCTAATTAATCAAAAGGTATTGAGTAAGGGTATAAATTAAATTTTATTAATTATAATATTTATAATTAATTTTGTATAAATTTTTATATTAAATTTATTTTTTAAA